CACTCAGATCTGACGTGACCCTATAGAGGGCCCTACCCTTAGTTTGGAAACCACTGGACAGGACCTGCCACTGTGATTTAAAGAACAAACATGTTTACATGGCAGCTCTACAGTTTTTTCCTGTCGCAGCTCAGTCTGCTCTGTCCTAGTGTGTTTGTTAATATTCATTTAACTATTAAGTCATGAAAAAGTTCATCTTTAACCACAGAAGAAGAAACAGATTTGTGAACACGAGCGTAAGACGGGCTATTTAAGAACTGTGGTCAAATGACATTAGTATGGAAGCCGAGAATGGCCATACTCACTGAAATAATTATCCCGTTATCTCCAGAAAACAAAGAGATAACGGGATAAAAATATTTGCGAGTACAACTTATAAAATGGTTATTATTATTAATACTAACTGTACGGAAACCGAAAAGGGTCATACTAGAAAAGTTTAAAATTAAAACCAATCAAGGATGGCAACACTGTGATCCTCTGCGTTGACGTTCCTCCACTACTACCCCCCAAACTGAACTAAAGTGGTATCGTCCATGCACGAATCCAACATGGCGGCGCTGGTACAGTAAAATCATGGAGTAAAATAAAGAGAGCAGACCTCAGTGTTAAAGTAGTAGTTGCGTTGTTACGCCGATGGGAGGCAGCAATGAAGTGAGCCGTTACCAGTCTGCAAGAAGGAAGAAGTAAAAACCGTTGTTGTGGGAAGTTGAGTGGAGTGCAGTAGGCGGTAAAGTCACGGGTGGAGTTAATGTGGATGAACTGATGAAGTTAGCCGCTGTTAGCTGTTAGCCGTTTCCTGATTTAACTCGTTAGCTGCTAACAGGAAGCGCTAGTGCATAATGCATGAGTTTACACTGTCTGTGCTGCCAGTGTGAGGTAGTTAAGATAGTTATGTGTGGTAATGTGGTTTAGGTAGGTAACCCGAGGCTGATGGTTTAATGTGAGCTCTCAGCAGACACCAATGGAGCACACACAGATCACCGGGGTGTACGGAGAGCTCAGCGGCCTCCCTGCGCCTGTTTCTGCCTGTGTGAGAGAAGAACAGCTCCCTGAGCTCCGGAGCTACACCGTGACCACAGGTCTCTCTCTCTCTCTCTCTCTCTCTCTCTCTCTCTCTCTCTCTCTCACTCTCTCACTCCCTCACTCACTCACTCACTCACTCACTCACTCACTCACTCACTCACACACACACACACACACCTCTGTACATGGATTACACAGCAGTAAGTTTCAACAGTCTGATAACTGAAGTCTACGCCTTGTTGTAATTAATGGAAACCAATCAGATGTGACACTCCCATCATGCTCTAGGCACAGATATAAAGAACATATGATCTATAGTCAGGAGGTAAAAGTTAAACGCATGTATAGACTTGTTAAATACCTGAGTGTTGAGTGCTGTGAGCCTGAAGCTGGTTCACTGATCCAGACTGTGTCCTCATCCAGAGTGGAGTCAGATCAACCTGGTCCGAGGATCCAGACTCCGCTACACCCAGCAGTGGACTCTGATCCCAGACTGCAATGACCACAAGAGCATCAGGGCTGTCCTCCCCCCACGGTCCTGTGCCCCCGTGTCTGGAGAGTGAGTTCTACCGTCATTAAAAAAAATTCACTTTAGAAAACATTAGATAACTGGCAAAATATCTATTCTGTCTCGGGATTTGAGATGAATTGAACAGCAGCAGAAAATCTGACCTCAGCTGGTTTCACTTCTTACCTTGCAGTCATGTGACTTCAGACTACACCCACACATATCTATCAGTGATGCTGGGTGAGGTCAGAGATCAGTCTGTGCATGAGAGGGCAGTAACAGGAGTTGTGTTACACTTTCCTTGATCACAGTGTGTGTTCCTCTTCTCTCCAGGTTGCTGAGTGAATTCTCTCCCATTCGAGGTCTGAGGGCAGTTATCAGGGAGGCAGGAGGCTACCAGTTCCTGGAGGTGAGAGGTGGACTTAACACCTGGTCACTGGTGTGTGAGCATGTTGACAGGCTGTTGACAGGCTGTTGACAGGCTGTTTATGTGGTTGTTGGTGTGTAGATCTGGGACTGTCATGGACTCAGGAAGTGCCTCAACCTGACGGCTCTCAACGAACATGGACGAGTGTATGACGATGGTGAGACGATGTTTGTTTGTGTCCTCATGTTGTGTTCATGTGCTTAGATAATTACATAACACTTATTGATGTGTGTGTGTGTGTGTGTGTGTGTGTGTGTGTGTGTGTCCAGCTCAGTTCGGCAGCCTGTCATGGTCAGACTGTGAGAACAAACTGCTGTATGTAGCAGAGAAGAACAAGCACACATCAGAAACACATGATGGAGAAACTGCATGTGGGAAGGTATTTCACACATACACACACACACACACACACACACACACACACACACACACACACACAGATTGTACAGTCATACAGAATCATAGCAGAGAAACAGAAAATGACAGAAAGCTATGGACATGTCCTCACGATCAGTGCCTCAGTCTGCAACAGGTACTGTGTGTGTGTGTGTGTGTGTGTGTGTGTGTGTGTGTGTGTGTGTGTGTGTTGTTCTCAAACAGGACAGGAGTGTGTACTGTGAGGACTGGGGTGAGGCTCTGACCAATAAGAGCAGCCCAGTGATTTGTGTGGTGAATCTTCAGAACGGCGTCGTCAGCGTTCTGCAGGGCGTGCCGCCGGACATCTCACCTGGACAGGTGAGAGAAAGTCAGTCATCTGATTTAGATTTAGATTGTGTTGTGTTGGACTGTTTGTATGTGAAGGTTTAGTGTGAATGTCCCAGTGTTTTTGTGTTGAAGTTGAAATGCAGAAGCAGATTTATTTTTGCACATGCTGTTTTTCCGGTAATTAACTTCCTGTGTGTGTGTGTGTGTGTGTGTGTGTGTGTGTGTGTGTGTGTGTGTGTGTGTGCGTGCGGGGTCCTCCAGGCTCTGTGGGCTCCTGGGGGTCAATCGGTGGTTTTTGTTGGTTGGTACCATGAACCGTTCAGACTGGGACTGAAGTTCTGCTCCAACCGCAGGTCTGAGATCAGAGGTCTGCTCTGTTTTCTGAGTCAGACTGAATCAGGTTTTGATTTGGAAAAGTAAAAACTTCATATCATAAAGTAAAGTCATATCTTGTTAAAAAAAAAGATGAATCTTCTAAAATCTAAAACACACACAGTAGATGAAGCACTAGAAATGATTATTATTTATATGCAGAGGTGGAAAAAGTACAAAAATATTGTACTCAAGTAAAAGTACCAATACTTTGATGAAATATTACTCAAGTAGAAGTAAAAGTACGCATCTGAAAATGTACTCAAGTAAAAGTAAGAAGTAGTTCATTTGAAATGTACTTTAAGTAAAAGTTACTTGGTTACTTTCTTTGTGTGGGGTGTGAGGGTAGTAAAAATAGGACAAGGGGTCAGAAATCCAAAACTATTTTGTTTTTAATTAAAGAACAAGTGTTGTCTGCGCGCGCCCTCTATGTTCACGCGCCAGTGCTAATCACATCATCATTTGTCACTGTTGGTTCTGGCCATTGGTTTACTGTCTATGGTTCTGGCGCGTATTTTTCCCCTGTAGGTTGAATTGTTATTTTTACTCAGTAACGGATAGGATTTATAAAGTAACTAAGTATAATACTTGAGTCAAAACGTACTCAAGTAAAATACAAAATACCGATTTTAAATTGTACTTAAAAAATACAAAATACACAAAAAATACAGTAACGTGAGTAAATGTATTTCGTTACTTTCCACCTCTGTTTATATGTTATCAGTCACGTTGAACCTAAACTTGAAGAGGAAAACTTTTATAAACAGAAGCAACTGAGCAGAAAAAGCAGAGGTGATATTGAAGGTTTTTAACATTTATTTCACTGATTCATGTAAAATTCTATCAGGTTTCAAATTCTGAGTGAAACGACTCACTTCATGTCTCTGTCTCGTCAAACTGTTTCAGGTCTGCGTTATTCAAGCTGGACCTGGATGGACTCTGTGGTGAGTACGTTTCCTGTGACTCTGCGTTAATGAATTAAACTCTGTGTTCTGTTGATCTGATCTCTGCACGTCCTCATCCTCCAAACCAGAGAGTCTGTCAGGGGACAACCTGTCCGTGTCCTGTCCTAGACTGAGTCCAGACCGGTCCACGCTGGTCTACCTGCAGGGCCAGGTGTTCGGTCCTCACAATCAGTGCCTCAGTCTGCAACAGGTACTGTGTGTGTGTGTGTGTGTGTGTGTGTGTGTGTGTGTGTGTGTGTGTGTGTGTGTTCCTTCTAACAACAGTTAAACAGTGGCTGTTAATCCTCCACAGTTGGACCTGAAGAGCGGGAAAACGTCCACACTGCTGGATGTTGTCAGCAGACCACAGACTGGTAGGTCACATGGTGTTAGTTCTTTTTTATTTTAGCTCACAGAGGATGTTTCTAGTGTTGATGTCTGACTTTAACAAGTCTGTGATGGATTGTCAGAGTGGATTATAAAAACGTGTGTCTTTTTTAAACTTTTAATCTAGCGCCATCTTCAAGTCACAATTTAAATTTGTCCAAAAAAAACCTTTGTTCATAGTTATGTCACATTTTATAATCTTGCATACTTCATCTTTTTCCTCCGTAAAAAATTCTGCGTGTAACTCATCCCGCAGCTTTGAGAAAACCCAGACAATATATTTATCAAGATGTGCAGCTCGGTCGGGAACGGTGTGCTATGACTTTCCTTAGCAGTTCCAGTAACCATGGCGACGTAAATGGTGAAAATTTTTCCTTAGAGAATGAATGGAGAGACGTTGTGAAAACAACCAAACCCTACCCCTTTTGCAAGCTCCACTGCTTCATCAGACTTTAACGTAGAAACACGGTTTAAACTTTAAACAGGTCACGAGACTTGAGACTTTTTTGGGTAAAATCCGTATTTTGACAACTTTTACAGTTTTTACCAAATCGGAGTTTAGATTTTATGTCATTTTTAAACTTTTTCAGATATTACAATGGGTGTGTGTTGCATGCAATGTTGAGTGATGACATCACACCACTCTACCTGTCATCCCTGAACATTTTCAGACAAATTGATGTTGTCACATTTCTGAAAAATCAGACAACCTCTTTTAAAATCCACAATTTCCAACCTTCATAGATGATTTTTATATAAAAGCGTAGATAAATGTGTCCTCTATCACAGTGTTGGTCTCATTCTGATATCCATCCTGATATCATTCTGACATGTTTCCTGATCTTATGCCCATGCTGTCTACATTAATAACTTGAATAAACCTGGGCTTTTCACAATAAAATAAACACCTGTACAGTGTAATAACAGATTTATGTCATAGAAAGCATGAGGGAGAAAGAAAAAGAATCCAATCCAATCCAATCCAGCTTTATTTATAAAGCACTTTAAAAAACAACCAGATGGTACCAAAGCGCTGTACATGATAAAATTATAAACACAAGATAAATTAAAAGACATAAAACATCAATAAAAACAGATATATAATAAGAGAAAACAAAAAATAACATAAAATAAGATAAAACAATAAAATAAAATCACATCTTACAGGGTGTCAAAGGCCATGGAAAAGAGATGGGTCTTAAGAAGGGATTTAAAAACAGACAAGAAGACGCCTGTCTAACGTGCAGAGACAGATCGTTCCACATTTTAGGGGCTGCCACAGCGAAAGCACGGTCCCCTCTGAGCTTGCGCTTCGTTTTTGGCACCCTCAGGAGCAGCTGATCAGCTGACCTGAGAGAGCGGGTGGGAGAATATGGGTGCAGCAATTCAGAGAGGTAGGGAGGGGCGAGACCATTGAGAGATTTAAAAGCAAATAAAAGAATTTTAAAATGAATCCTAAAATGTATGGGCAACCAGTGAAGTGAGGCTAAAATGGGGGAAATGTGGTCATATTTGCGTGTGCCAGTTAAAAGACGTGCAGCAGCATTTTGTACCATCTGGAGACGGTTGATGGAGGACCCACTAACCCCCACATAAAGTGCATTGCAGTAATCCAGGCGTGGATTACTGTCTCAAAGTGCTGCTTTGAAAGAATTGGCTTTATTTTGGCCAGCTGCCTCAACTGGTAAAAACTTGCACTGGTAAAAACTTGCCTTCACAACCGTCTTGATCTGATTGTCAAGTCTGAGGTCAGAGTCCACCTCAACTCCCAAGTTAGTGACGTTGGATTTTAGGTATTGAGCCAAGGAACCTAGATCTAGACAGAGGGTCTCGGAGCTGCCACCAAAAACAATCACTTCTGTCTTCTTTTCTTTAAAATTTAAAAAAAGAATCACAGACTCCAGGTGAAGATTTGTCTCCTTGTCTGTCTCTTTCAGGTGAGTTTGCAGGTGTGTATGAAGCTCTTCCGCCCAGGTGCTGGTCTGCAGACAGTCAGAGGGTGGTATTCAGCAGCGCCCGCAGGAACTGGAAGGTAACAGCCACACACTCACAGTCCATACCACTCCCATGTCTCTGCATTAACTATATCTTAGCATAAAGACTGGAAGCAAAGGGAAACCTCTAAAGTTCACCAGTTAACAGGTGACATGTCATGTGATTTGAACTCACACTGACAGGTAAACACTCTGGAGGTGCTGATCCTACAGGTGTGTTCAGTACCTGCAGTGCAGTTGATTTGAACACTGGTTAAACATTGGACACATTCAGGCTAAGCTAATCACTTCCTGGCTCCATGATCAATACACAGACATTCTTGTGTTTTATTTTGAATTCATCATGAGATCATACACACTCCTCCTCCATGACTCCTTTCCTGTCTCCTTGTCTTCTCGTTTCCTCAGGATCTCTTCATGGTCGACAGAAGATCAAAGAAAGTCACCTCCCTCTGTGATAGTAAGACTCCTTCCTCTCCTCCTCCTCCTCCTCCTCCTCCTCCTCCTCCTCTCTCTCTTCTGTCCACTTCTCCATCTCTTCTTTTCCTTCCTCCTCCTCCCTTCCCCATCTCTCATCCTCTCCTCTCTCCTCTGCTGCCCCCTCCTCCTTCCTCTTGTTGGCCTCCTCATCCCCCTCCATCTCCTGCTCTACCTCCTCCCCCTCCTCTCTACCCTCTTCTTCCACCTCCCCCTTCTCCTTTTGTTCCAGTTCCTCACCCTCCCTCTGAACCTGACCTTCCTCCTCCTCCTCCTCCTCCTCATCCACTTCCTCTTCCTGATCCTCCTCCCCTTCCTCCTCCTCCTTTTCATCCTCATCATCAGGAGCACAAGACTGAACTGGAAGGTACGACAAGACCAGCAGACTTGATGTCGCAACCAACATCCTGTTGGGAAATTTCAAAATAAAAGTCTAAAAAATCTGTGATTTGGATATACAGATGCTTAACGTGATGTCATCCACAGCTGTGTGATTGAATGTAGGAATCTCATTTTAAAAACCTTGTTCCTGTTCCATCGTTTGTCTCTGATTTTCTGTGTTTTCTTCATCACTTCTTTTCTCTCCTCCTCTGTCTCTGTTCTTCTGTTCTCCCTGTTCTTCTGTTCTCCCTGTTCTTCTGTTCTCTCTCTTCTTCTTCT